AGGGTGTAAATTGGGCCAGTTCGCTGCCATATTCCTCTCAGCAAATTGCAGCCGTGCCTCTTTGTGAGACGCGGTGAAACGGGGAACGGACGGAGACAGCTTCGCACGACGTTGCTGTTGCCACTGAGCGTCCTCCACACCGCCCTTTTGGAGGCAGGTGCCACTAGGTCGGACTTCATTGAGGCTGAGTCGAGAGTTCAAGACCAATCGTTCAATCTGACGTTCTGCTTGCGGAGGCAGCTTCCTTGGTCTACCTGATCCCTTTTTGCGACCGTAGGATTCCGTGTCACTTACGAGTTGATCGACGACCCTTGAGGAGCAACACAATTGGGGAGCAATTATGCGATTGCTCAGACATACCGTGTGCAGGGCGCGATCCTGAGCCTGCTCGGCAACTGGAAGCTGTGAGCCCCTGCTATTTAACGATATGATGCGTAGTACTTATGGCTAATTACTGCTTCCTTGAACGTTAACTTTCGCAGGCCAAGTGTTCAGTTTCATGGCGATTTCTAAAGTGCGTCTATACTTATGAAACGGTCCATTTGGTAACAAACCGTTGAAAAATACCCAATTTTTCTCCGATTCAAATAAAACCTGTCTCACAAAGGTTTTCCGGCACGCTGATTACGATATTAACAACCCTTTTTGTCACAGATATCGTTAAACTTTGATGACAGCTTTTTTGAGGGTGCGTCTATACTTATGAAACGCATTGTACTTGAGGAGGGCTCTTCAAAAAAACTTCCAAATCTGCTTTCAGATTGAAAATTCGTCTATTTGAAGAAAGTTATAATCATTTGAATATTTGTTCAAATTTCAATAGTAAATAAGCTGCTCCACGGTCAACGCCAAAGATCAATCAACACACAGCTGGCCAATCATAAGCCACAAGGCTTCTGTCATCCGACAGGTGGGCGTAGAAGCCTGCTCTGTGTGGTACTAATTTTTGGTAAGCCTCTCAAAGGGAATAAAGGACGAATAGATGTTGTCATAGTCTGCTCTTTTCCATGACTGGTGGTCGTTTTTTGCTACGTTTATTGATAGGACTCATTGTTGATGAATTTTCTTTTACTTTTTCCGCTTATGGAGAGACTTCTATGGTGAAGAGTTGGGTAACAGGGCTTTTTTTGCTGAAAGATTTTCACAAACAACTTCTTCGTACTTCGGTCTGTGAGGATAGTTTTTTCATGGACTACGACCGCTGGAGGGAGGGGGACACGTATTTCAGAATTTCCCTCCACGCGCCGCTTGACCCCGTTCATATCATTTTGTGACCAACGCGACGTCGGCCGCGATCGATACGCACGTTTTACGTGTGCAGCAGATAGCAGTTCGTGGAGTATGAATGCAACGTTTGCAATTCCGACCCCTTAACAGGTCAGACTAAGGGAACGGCTCTTGTTGATGTTAAAATTACTACGACCTCTATTTCAGATTGAGCCTCTTACTTTAAGTCCATGTTCATTTTCAGGAGTCCGAAATTGACGATTCCGATCTGCGCAGCGTCAGCAGACTCGCTTCACGGCAACCTACTATTGAAGAACCTCCTCCATCGCCTCCTCATGAACTAACCCGAGAAAATGTAATGTTGTACCGTATTTCAATGGTTTCAGTCAATCTGTGCTATCAGTCGAGTGTGCAAATTCCCTGTAACTACTGCGCGCTGTCGCGAAGCGTCCAACGACCAATAATAAAAGACTAT